AGAGACACAAACATGATCCCAGTTCCGTCATAAACGAATTTCATGCGTTTCACAGAATGGTGACTTAGAAAAGTAATGAAAGGTAGACCTGGACACTTCAAAAGTTCTGAAGTCTATGGATAAATTCCCTCAGAATAATTTATATCTTAATTTATAATTTCTATCTCTACCTCTAACTTGGATGGGGGAAAGGGGCTTCCTAATATTGTGGGGAGGGGCGGTGGACATTATCTTTTGAGTAAAAACAGAAAATTCATTAAAAGGAGATTCACCTGTTGGGATGAGCACTGGGTATTGTATGGAAACAAATTTGACAATAAATTTCATATTAAAAAATAAATAAATTTAAAAAAATAAACCAAGGAAAAAAAAAAAAAACAAGTTCAAGTAGCCATAGCTGCTGAAAGAAGAAAGTGAGTTTTGATAAGCAGGTTAAAGCCAGCATAGAAGTAACCTAGGAAGAGACTTGGAATCAGAAGTTTTAATAATCTGACAAAGTATGTATTGTCTAAATTCGCCCAAGACAATGTCAAGAATGATTTGAAGAGCACGAGGAAATAGGCTGGGGTAGAAACATTAAAGCAAGACCAGAGGCTGGCCAACTATGACCTCTGGGCCAAAGCCTGTATTTGTAAATAAAGTTTTATTGGAACACACCCATTCATTTCCATAATGTTTATGGCTGCTTTCGCTCTATAAAGGTGGGGCTGAACAGTGTGGGACACTGCATGGCCAACAAAGCCTAAATTGTTTACTCTCTGGCCCTTTGCACAGTAAGTTTGCCACCCACTGTTACAGTCCAATGGAAGCCTAAGGTAAGATGAGAACATGTTTTAAAATGATAACCAAGCAAGAATTTTCAGGATTGAGTGGACAGAGCATAAACTAAATTATCTGCTTTAATGTAAAGCAGATAATTGAATAATAATGTATAATAATAATGAATAATAATGATGAATAATAATGTAGGCAGATAATTGAAGTTGTTATTCAGTGGGTTTTGAGCACTTCTGATTTTCTTTAGATTTTTTTATGATTAATTCTATTAGAGATGATGTCTACACGAATACAAATTTAAGCTGACCTGATATTCCTGATACTACCTGGAATCTCAATGATTTTGAGAAGCTATTCCACAAAGACACTTTTACTACCCTGTACATTTGGGCAAGTGGGTAATCAACTTAGTTGTACTAGATAGCCCTAAGTACAAAGAATGACAAATGTTTTCCCAAGTTATAGGGAGCCAGATTCATAACCATCCATCAGTTGCTTGGGCAAGTTACTGATAAACTCTGCAGAAAAATAACAAACTGTGTGTCCCTGCATCTTGGCTGTTGAAAATGAGATTCCTTCTCTGATTGATGTTAGCAGAGAGGCTTGTAAAAATGCATTTCCAACTGATTAGTTCAGAAGGTGTCAATCTCACGCAGTTTTATGACCTGCAGACTACATGCCAGATGCACATTTGCTTTTCATAAACTAACAAAGATGAATGGCTAAATTTGAGTATTCTTCTTGGGCAACTGTACCATTTATTGCCTAAAGGAAGACACTGGGGGAGTAGTGTCAGGAAGGAAAGGATGGGGGCAGTTAACCTTTATTTTTCAAGATTAATGGAGATAAAATACAATAATTGGAAGTACCTTCTCTTCCAAGTGAGTAATCTCTTTCTAAGCTAAAGGATGAATGTAAGGGAAAAATTTGCAAGAATATAAAATGTTTGTGTAAAATGATTCTCCCAAGCATATGCACACCCACTCAAAAGTCATGGAGTGAGAACTCTGAAATAGATCATAAAACACGTAATTAAAGATTCCTTATAAGGGGCGCCTGGATGGCTCAGTTGGTTGGGCGTCCAACTTCGGCTCAGGTCATGATCTCATGGTCTATGGGTTCGAGCCCCGTGTCGTGCTGAAAGCTCAGAGCCTGGAGCCTGCTTCACATTCTGTGTCTCCCTCTCTCTCTCTGCCCTTCAGAACTTGTGTTCTGTCCTTCTCTCTTTCTCAAAAGTAAACATTTAAAAAAAAATTTTTTAAGATTCCTTATAAAATCTCAATATATAATCATGAGTTGTTTCTGGAAGGGTTTTATTTTTTAATTTTTTTGAAGCCAGAAATGATACTGAGACAACGGTTCAATAGTCTACTATAAAAATCTGAGTCTTAATAACTGCTTCTCTTTCTTTGAGAGAAAAATACATACAACGTGTTGCATTATCATATCTTCATGAAAAGTAAGCCTATAAGCAGAGTTTTATCCTTCTTCCAAAAGTATGGAGAAATATTTAGACATTTATCATCTTCGTGGCCTTTTGGCCAAGAAAGTAGCATTTTGATAAATTTATATAAAATTTCAAAGCTCGGTTTAATTTGATTTTCTTAAAATATGATTTAAAACTTTTATCAAAGGAATAAAACTGCCCTTTCAAATAATGAATGCATCTTTAAAAAACATGATGGACATCTGCATAAAAATGTAACTATCACAAGGAAACAATACATAAGAAGATCTGCCTATCAGAAATTCTGACTCATTGTGACTCATTGTGGTTAACAAAGCAATTAAAATACTAACGTGAAAGGAGCCCAACACTATAAATTTAATTCAAGTATTTGTGTATTCGGCTTGTTTTTCAGCTACAAGGAAAATAGTGAACAGACTTTTAGTTACTGTCTCTAGATAAACTAAATCTTTCTCAGTTGTAAGTGACAGAAAATCTAACCCAGACAGGCATAAAGAAGAAGAAAATAGCTTGGCCTCTGCACCTGAAAAGCCCAGGAGCTCCAGTCCGGCCTGTTGTAAAAACCTTAAAGATGCCACTGTGACCTATTGTTTTTGTCTCCAGCTCTTGGCTCTGCTTCTTGAATGGCTGCATTCCGAACCAGGTTCTCCTGGATTGGCAGCTGGAGGGATGCAGTCACCCCAACCTCACAGCCATACAGCTTCAAGCCTGGGAGGAGGTGGGGGGCGGGGCGCGGGGGGCAGGACCTGCAGACAGTTCCTGAAATTCACTCCAGCTCAGCAAGTTCAGTTGAACCAAACATTTCTGAACCAAACGTGAAGGGGGAAATGCGAGTGGACAGAGAGGGAGGGATGGACACCTAAATGACTACGTAGAGCTGTTGCCCAAAGAAACCGAAGGGAGTATTAGGAGAAGTCACAAGTGTTCCCTGCCTTCTAAATGACTTAAGGGCATTGATCCAGGGGGCACCTGGGCTCCTCAGTTGGTTAAGCGACTGACTTGATTTCTGCCCAGGTCATGATCTCACTGTTCATGACATTGAGCCCCGAGTAGGGCTCTCAGCACAGAGCCTGCTTGGGAGTCTTTCCCTCTCTCTCTGCCCTTCCTCTGCTCTCTCTGTCTCTCTGTCTCTCTCTGTCTCCCTCTCTCTCTCTCTCTCTCTCTCAAAATAAATAAATAAACTTAGGGAAAAAAAAAGACATTGATCCAGGACCCCTCGTCTTTGGTTTCTGACCTTACTGTGTCGCTGTTGACATACTTTTAGACTGGGCAACATGACTCAGTTTAGTCTCTTTTTCTTTTGTCTCAATTTGCTGTCAGATAATGGAGGGGAAAACTTACATTCTATTAATAAGAGTGTCCTCAAGCAAAAACAAATGGCTAGTGTGTTTTTTTGAAACTAAAGTTACTAAAAAACACTCGTGTAAATAAAATACGTAGGTCAACTAGATATTTTCGATTGAGTTTGTCATAATAGGGTCACACAAAGACCTGATACCTGGGTTTAAAGATTTTTAAGACCATTTGATCTCCCAAGAATGATTTAAAGTCTTCAGAAACTAATATTTTATTACTCTGTACTGAGACATGTAATTGCCAAGCAGATCACAATTCATCTATCAGCTGGCCAGTGAAAGAATGATCTTAAGGGATAATGTCACCAAATCATCATAACCTGACACTCTTGTCCACTGATGAGTTGGTTTATATGTTTCAAGCAAAATACCTACATGGGGCATTGAATGTCATTTCCTTTTGATGTTCCTGGAGAAGGCCCTAGCAGATTCTTTCTACCCGCTACACTTTTCATGTCACCAACACTGCGGGTCAGTTTTCTTTTCTGATAGGCTTCTTATCATTTATAATATTATGGCGTATTTACATTTGCCACATTTTAAAGTAACACCTCCATTTTGGCAGAGGCATACCAGGGGCCCAGGATCCTGTTTAAAATTTGAGAGTTACCTTAATTTTATTTGGAACACACTTTACCTTCCTTGGGAAAGCTGTTTCCTTGAAAGATGGTTGACTAATCTCATCCGTTTTATGTTGATTTGTGTTTGCTTCATTTCACAGACTTTCATTTTCTGGCCCTTTCCCAAATTTTAGAACTTCTCCCTAAGCAGTTTCCTATCCATTCACCAATCGCGCTCACTGTGTTAACTCCTAGTACGTTTTCTTTAAAATACAGAAGGCTTCAGTAACTATACTTAAAAATAATCTGGGGCGCCTGGGTGGCGCAGTCGGTTAAGCGTCCGACTTCAGCCAGGTCACGATCTCGCGGTCCGTGAGTTCGAGCCCCGCGTCGGGCTCTGGGCTGATGGCTCGGAGCCTGGAGCCTGTTTCCGATTCTGTGTCTCCCTCTCTCTCTGCCCCTCCCCCATTCATGCTCTGTCTCTCTCTGTCCCAAAAATAAATAAAAACGTTGAAAGAAAAATTAAAAAAAATAATAATCTATATTCTTTCAAGCTACTAATAGATTGTTCTAATCAGTAATTTTTAATTTCTTAATCAGAATCAGTCATCTCCGATCTAAACACTTACTCTGCGTGAAAGCAGCTGCAAATATTGTATTCATATTTCATCCGTTTCCAAAAAGTAGGCCTCCTAGAAATTACTCTCAATTGGGGTGGGGTGGGGGCGGAGATTCATTTGATACGAAAGAAAACGAACCAACAAACAAAACGTAGCGCACAAAACGTTAGTCACAGATTAAAAGAGGAGTTCTCTCACTGGCTTACACTTCTCTCTGCAGATGGGCTCGTTGACTGTATGGATCCTGATTGCTGTTTACAGAGTTCCTGCCAAAACCAGGCTTACTGCCATGGACTGCCTGACCCTCAGGATGTCATCAGCCAAAGCTTACAGTCCCCCCCGCAGCAGGCCGCCAAGTCCTTCTATGATCGAATCAGCTTTCTCATAGGGTCTGACAGCACCCATGTCCTACCTGGAGAAAGTCCTTTCAATAAGAGGTTAATGCATTTTTTTTTTCCTTACATAGATGTGTAGCGTTGTTATCAGTAGTTACGTGCACTTTTTACGAAATGCTGATGACTGAATTTGAGGGAAGTGCTTTTTCTTTTAATGCAGTTTTTCCTCTTTCGGCAAATTCCTCACCAAACTTCGCGTTTCAAGCATTTTTGACACAGTTCACATACTTTGTCAATTTCAGCATCCGAGCCATAACGGGACATCCCATTAAGGAGTCCATAAATCTTCATTTAACTAGTTGATTTTGTTAGCACGGTTGGACATGTTTCAAAAGAAGCAGTGAAAAGACCCCAAAAGGCAAAGCAGAAGTGAGCTTTTTTTTTTTTTAGCTGAGCTCGCTAAATAATATAAATTATGAATTAATGTAATGGAACTGCTAACGGCATCACAGTAAGATTGCATAAGCTGTTTGACTGGTGCTTTACAGAGCAGTAATGACCTGAAAATAAACCAGTAAGTGAAAGCAGGTGTCTTGTGTCTCACTGAGTAAAAGAAGATGATTTACGCTGGAACTCCTGGATCTGCAGTAATTTAACAGCATTAATGCAGTTAGACCCAGCAGTTGATTAAAAGTTGTTGCACAAATGTGCCTTATTGCCCCTTTAAATCTTGTACTCCTTGGTCCCTGCAGATTTACGGGTTGCCTTGGAATTAATTGGAAGGTATACTTTTCTTCATGTAAGCACCAGATAGATGACTTATGAAAAAGCGCAGTTTATAATTTAAAAAATTCATCTCTAAATTATTGGTCTTGATAACTCTCCAAAAACCAGACTGCAACAAATTAAAAACCCAGGGTAAACACCAGGCATTTAGAGAATGTGAATTGCACCGAATTAAAAGGGACATTGTCTTGGGAGTATTTCAGGTCTGGTTTGGGGGAATAACAAGTGTGGGTGATGGTGTTATTTTATCCTTAGGATGAATTAGCTCTAAATCATGGTACCGTTGGCCTGAGGAGACAAATGCTCATTCTGATTCTTCTCCTTTTCCCACAGCCTTGCATCCGTCATCAGAGGCCAAGTACTAACTGCTGATGGAACTCCTCTCATTGGAGTAAATGTCTCGTTTTTCCATTACCCAGAATATGGATATACTATTACCCGCCAGGATGGAATGTGAGTTAGTCCCACTGCACTATCTTTTTTTGAAGTAGTTTCAGTATAAAAACTAGGCATTCTTCTATCACCCAATATGTGTTATTGTTCCATTTAATATAGAACTGCGACAACTTTTAGACTCCAGAAATCTGTGACGATGCACATGACACAGACTTAAAGTCCCGTGCTCACACAGCGCTTTAAAAGTTGAGCTCATGGGGTGTGTGGGTGGCTCAGTCGGTTGGGCGTCCGACTTCGGCTCAGGTCACGATCTCGCAGTCCGTGAGTTCGAGCCCCACGTCGGGCTCTGGGCTGACGGCTCAGAGCCTGGATCCTGTTTCAGATTCTGTGTCTCCCTCCCTCTCTGACCTTCCTCCCATTCATGCTCTGTCTCTCTCTGTCTCAAAAATGAATAAACGTTAAAAAAAAATTTTTTTTAAATAAAGATAAATAAAAATAAAAAAGTTGAGCTCATTTACCAAGACGTAACAGTGTTGTGATTTTGTAGAATTTTCTTTGTCTTAGAAGGTTCCTGTTGAAATATTTCGAAGTGATATTTCATAAGCTCAGATGGCTCTGAGAAAAAGAGTAGATGGGTAGACAGATAAAGCAGATACGGGAAAATGTTAATGAATTGGTAAGTCTAAGTAAAGGGTATATGGGTGTTCATTGTATAATTATTTGCATACTCTCATAGATTTGAAACCCTATGATATAAAAGTTGGGGGGACATCGGCTATCTTTATAAAGCATATTTATTTATGCAGTTGAGTGTTGTTGGAAGCTGTATGGGATCCAGATAATTCACTGAGCAATCTTGTTTTTTCTTAGGTTTGACCTGGTGGCAAATGGAGGGGCTTCCCTGACTTTGGTGTTTGAACGATCCCCATTCCTCACTCAGTATCATACGGTGTGGATTCCGTGGAATGTCTTTTATGTGATGGATACCCTAGTCATGAAGAAGGAAGAGAATGACATTCCCAGCTGTGATCTGAGTGGATTTGTGAGGCCAAATCCTATCATCGTGTCCTCTCCTTTATCCACCTTTTTCAGATCATCTCCTGAAGACAGCCCTATTATTCCCGAAACACAGGTAGAATATTCTAGCAGGCAGTCCTTTTTAAGGAAACCGTTTTTCAGATCGTGCAGTGTCCCAAGAATCTTTAAAAAGGGTTGCAGAGGGGCGCCTGGGTGGCGCAGTCGGTTAAGCGTCCGGCTTCAGCCAGGTCACGATCTCGCGGTCCGTGGGTTCGAGCCCCGCGTCAGGCTCTGGGCTGATGGCTCAGAGCCTGGAGCCTGTTTCCGATTCTGTGTCTCCCTCTCTCTCTGCCCCTCCCCCGTTCATGCTCTGTCTCTCTCTGTCCCAAAAATAAAATAAAAACGTTGAAAAAATAAAAAATAAAAATAAAAAGGGTTGCAGAATTCCAGCACTATCCTAAATATTCTGTAGAATGAAACATAGAATGTGGGGTGTGTGTGTGTGTGTGTGTGTGTGTGTGTGTGTGCGTGTGCTAGAATATATAACACTGTGGTAGGATATCTAGTTATTTCTTAAAGATCTATTCAAAATACTTTTTTGTTCAGGCTGTACTATATGTGTATATATTTACTGGTTGTAGCCAAATAGAAAAACAGCTTAAACTCAACTAGCTGATAACGTCTTTGCTCACGCACTCACTGGAAAAAGCTTTTGGTACCTGTATGTTCCTGACCTCCTGGTGGACATGGTAACAATTAATTATGGTCATTATTCTCAGTAACTTAATGTTTTATTATAATTGTAAGTAAAAAATGTTTCAGAAGAGATGACTTTTTGATTTTTAGCAGCAAATATTTATTAATTGTCGCAAGATATTTTTACCTAAAAAGCTTGATATTAGGTCTTACGTTCTAATAATTTATAGCAAAGCCTATTCTCCTCAGGAAAAAAAGAAAACTAACTTTTAAAAAAATAGCCATACTGTCACTATTCCTTTTATCTACTGAAATATCTGTAGATTTTTTTCCTTCCTATTTGTTTTCAGTTAAAAATAATTTTGAGGGGCACCTGAGTGGCTCAGTCGGTTGAGCATCCGACTTTGGCTCGGGTCATGATCTCATGGTTCGTGTGTTCGAGCCCCACTGCTCGTGCGTTCGGGCACGTGCTCATGGCTCGTGCGTTCGGGCTCTGTGCTGACAGCTCGGAGCCTGGAGCCTGCTTCGGATTCTGTGTCTCCCTCTCTCTCTGCCCCTCTGTCTCTCTCTGTCTCTCAAAAATGAATAAATGTTAAAAACAATTTTTTTTAGATAATAATAATTTTCAGTTTGGGGCACCTGGGTGCCTCAGTTGGTTGAGCGTCCAACTCTTGATTTCGGCTCTGGTCATGATCCCAGGTTTCTGGGATTGAATCCCACATAGGGCTCTGTGCTGATAGTGTGGATCCTGCTTGGGATTCTCTCTTCCTCTCTCTCTGCCCCTCCCTTGTAGACTCTCTCTCTCTCTCTCTCTCTCTCTGTCTCTCAAAAGTAAATAAATAAATGTTTTTCGAAAGGAAATAATTTTGAGGTTTTAAAGATAGGACATTAGGTACAATAATAATGGACTTTATTCATAAATAGCCAAGTAAAAATATGTGGTCTGTAAAATAACAGCAGCACATAGCCGCTTTGTCACATTCATTCTTCGAGTGTTTATTGAATACCTGTTCTGCACCAGGCGGTGTTAGAATGGAATGAAGCAGTGAGCCAATCAGATGAATGCCTGCCCTCAGGGAGCTTGCCAGCTAAAAGGGGGGAGAGACAACAAACAGACAAATGTATGTCCGGTTATGAATAAGACTCATTTTTCAAAGGTAAAACAGGGTAAAACGGATCGGGGTGCCATTTTACGAAGGGTGGTCTGGGAGGATCTCTTTGATAAGTTGATATTTCAGCAGAAACTTTAAGAAAGTGAAAGAGTAGATAGAAGGGTCTTCCAGACAGCGTAAGGAGCAAGGTCAGAAGCTCCGGGGGAAGAGCATGCTTGGCCTATTCACAGAACGGCAAAGAGGCCAGAGGGTAGGGCTTGAGTGAAGGAGTGACGCCCAAACCCAGAGTCATTGAAGATGGTGGCAGGGTTAAGGACCGTGTGTGTACTTTGAGTCATTGGAAGCTGTTGGAAGCCCAGGCCTTAAATAGATTTAACCTTGAAGCAGTGTCTGTCTGTCTGTCTATAGGGGGCAAACTTGCAGCAAACCGAGTCACTGAAATGGGTTGCAGGTAGTCAACAGTTGCAAGAATACATGAAGGGTTCTTTTCCCCATTCCATCAAACAGTCAACCAACATTTGGTAGAAATTTACTGAGAGTCTAATGTGTACCTGGTACTCTACTAGGATAAAAAGATTAGTGAGGCATGGCTCTTGCCACTCTAAAGTGTGATCGAGATTTGAAAGAAGAACTCTGAAAGTTCAAGAGGGGTCCATTCCTAAAGAAGCCAAAAAAAAGCATCACTGAGGAGGTTGACCTTCAAAGGAGGGAAAGGATATTCCAGATGGAAGAAAATGTGTAAGCAACCACATGGTGATAAAACCAAATAATGTCATATGAAAGCTGATGGACCATTTAAATGTAGGGCATATAAAGGGAAAGCCTGAGGCCAGGTTATCATACAGTGGAGACCTTGAATTCTTTAGACAATATGGAACTGGGGAGCCCATGGCATTTTTCCAGATTTCTCTAACGCTAACTCAACTGACAAAACGTGTAATTGCTAGAAGGAAACAGATGGATCGGTGAACTGACTAGTGTTCGCTGTATTTCCATGCACGTCCAGCACGGAGACGGAAGGTGCCCAACATGCACAATGGCACTAGAGAAGATGAAGCAGATTAGACTGAGATTTGGAAGGTAGAAGTGACAGGATGTATTTCTTTATTTTTTTTTTGACTGGATAAATAATTTTATTTATTTATTATAAAATAAAATACTCATTAACTTATTATCAAACAAAAAATAACAATAACAAAATTAGAGAAAGTAAGCCTTTGTGTTTGTAATTTTACTGTTTTTTTCGTTTTATTGCGCTTTCTAACTGAATATGTAATGGGGTGAAGAATGAGGCTTACAGATCAGACAGCTGGTAAAAAAAAAAAAAAAATAGGCTTAATGGTTTATTTTTTCCACTCTGGCTAGATTTACTTTTCCCTCTAATGCAAAATAACATGGTCAAGTTCAATTACATAGGCGAAACACATGTTTTAATAAATCAAATTACAGATATTTGTTCCATGGAAGTAGGTTAATGATGACAAAGATAGTAATCAATTATTAAGATAAGAATAACACATGATATCTTGAATTAGAGACGCAGCCTCTAGAAGATCACAGGAAATATATATTAATTAAGGAAAGGACTGCCTTATGTATAGAAAACCTACCAGATTTATGAGAAATTATTTTGGAAATAAGAGGAAACAAATTATATGCCTTAGGGTTCGATCACTTACATTTTCAGAGCCATTCAAGAGTCACAGAATCTATTTTTCAAGCTCACCCATTGGTATTTCACCCCAAAGATAGAAGAACAATGAGTTCTATTTTCATTATACATCCTGTAGCCTACAGCCACACAACAATGCTGTCGATCTTAAACGTAATGGTCTCCCTGAGTCTAACAAAGCTCTGGAAAGTTTCTGTATGTCCGTAAACTATTTTGCCTGAGACAGTCCGTGGCCGGAATCCGTTGGCATAGTTGGGAAGGAAAACCCCACTTGTAATAAATAGGAACAATATCTGTGAGAGCATAGCAATGCCTTCTTGATCCACTAAATTGCCTCACATCTCTCTTCATGCCAACACTGGCTCACAGGCCAGCATGGAAGTTTGCTTAGCCCACTCTTTTGTGCTGCTTGTTTATATTGAAACTGACCACCACAACCTCACTGTCGTGGGTTCCACTTAAGTCATTGAAACTCAGAGGTGACAGCTAAGCATCAATCCTAGCTGCTCCACGCGAGAGGAGCTAAATGCCACTGACCACTGGATCGCCATTCTGAGATTTTTCTAACACAATCAGATAGTCCTTTCTGTCTGAACAAAGAAACTTGATAGGACAATTATGAGGAAAGCTTTGCGAGTGTTAACTTAATTCTTAGTAGAGAAAGTGTTGACTTCCTGGTGCGGATCCTTGAGCATAAATGGCCTTGTGCACTTTGCAATATGTGTCTTGTGGTAAACCTGGGAAGAGTGATCATTAGTAACCAACCTAATCGGTGCTTCCTAATTAGCATCTGAACCCTCTGGAAAGATTTTACACACGACGTAAAATATATTTTCAAAACAATTAATGTTTTGGCCTATGTCGGTATGCCTTTGTTAGCATTCATGGAGCCAGTCACATCAATGGGTAGGCTGGAGGGTTAAGAATGTGATTTTTACCAGTTTGTAAAGGAGATCATTCGTAGGCAGGTGGTTATTTTAACTTTTTACAGTCCAGCTTCAACTCGAAAAGGATACGTTGAGTGTCTTGCCTGTGCATTCAGTAACGCATTAGTTGTTCTCTAGGGAGAAATTTATGCAGCTCCGAAATACTAGTCCATCCACCATCCTATCAAAAGTCAGTGGTGAGTCCTCACTCAGTGTCTAATTATAAGGACTTGCTATCGTTCTGTTACCTTTCCACATGGATGTGGAATTTGCTACAATTTAACCCAAACGAATTGGTCTTGTTTTGTTATCACTCCTATCTTTCTAGGCTGTGACCAGTCAGCTGCTGAGGCTACAGGCCCAGGTTTCCTCCCTAAATGAGCCAGCTGGCATAGGCCAGATCTTTGGCCTAGACCACATCCCTGCGCTAAGCCAGCCATCTTACAAATGTCTGCTCTAATTCTCCAGGGTGATGGGGGTGAAAGATGGGTTAGTGAGAGTCGGCTGTGACTATAGGCCAACAAGTCAGTGCATGTCAGCCCGATGGAGCAGTTACAGTGACTTCCGTGTGAGGAATAGCACCTGAGGTATGATTAACTCAAAATAAATGACAAGAAGCTTTTAGGAGGAGAGAAATTGGGCTGGCGGCAGAGTTATTTTTAATTATTGAATAAAGTCACAGCTCAAATGTGTATTTGTGAAGAGCAACTCTTTGATGTCTTATTTTAGTTGTTCGTCTCAATTCTGTGGAATCTCTTTTTTTTTTAATTTTTTTTTTAACATTTATTTATTTTTGAGACAGAGAGAGACAGGGCATGAATGCGGGAGGGTCAGAGAGAGAGGGAGACACAGAATCCGAAACAGGCTCCAGGCTCTGAGCTGTCAGCACAGAGCCCGACGCAGGGCTCGAACTCACAAGACGGCGAGATCATGACCTGAGCCGAAGTCGGACGCCCAACCGACTGAGCCACCCAGGTGCCCCTGTGGAATCTCTTTTACCTAATAGTTATCCACGATCGCAGTTTTAAGCTTCCGCTTTTTTCATACCTAGGTACTCCATGAAGAAACTACAATCCCAGGAACAGATCTGAAACTTTCCTACTTGAGTTCCAGAGCTGCAGGCTATAAGTCAGTTCTCAAGATCACCATGACCCAGTCTATTATACCGTTTAATTTAATGAAGGTTCACCTTATGGTGGCTGTCGTCGGAAGACTCTTTCAGAAGTGGTTTCCTGCCTCGCCAAACTTGGCCTACACTTTTATATGGGATAAAACAGATGCGTATAATCAAAAGGTCTATGGTCTATCTGAAGCTGTTGGTAAGTTCCTTATCAATATATTTTCAGCCAAAAAAAAAATTATCTTGAAGTCAGAACTAATATGATATTATCTTGAAGTCAGAACTAACAAATCACCCACGAAACTCATTGGATAAACAGATGGGAAGGCAGTAAGATTGTCCGTGGGGAGTTCTAAGCTGGTTGGTTGAGACCTACCATGGGAAAAGGGAGTGTGTTTGCATATGATGAGACAGCATCCCTTTTTTCTGACTGAAATTATACATTAGAAAACGTTCTGAATGACAGTCTACGGTGTCCCATCCTTTTCTCCCATGTTCTCCTTCCTTACTGTTCTCCTTCCTTTTCTCGTTTTTTTTCCTTACAACTTTGTCTCCATAGCTTTCCTTATCCTTTTTGATGTTTTCCGTATCTGACAATTAGGGTGGTTTCAGCTCACAAGGGTATTTGAGAGGATATAGACAATATTTGTGTTCAGAAATTATCTCAGATCTTTTGACTAGAAGGAGTCAATTCAGTGCAATGACATTCTTAAAACATCGGGTAAAAAGAGGTTAGAGTGGAAGAGAGCCAAAGCATAAGAGACTCTTAAAAACTGAGAACAAACTGAGGGTTGATGGGGGGGTGGGAGGGAGGGGAGGGTGGGTGATGGGTATTGAGGAGGGCACCTTTTGGGATGAGCACTGGGTGTTGTATGGAAACCAATTTGACAATAAACTTCATATATTGAAAAAAATAATAAAAAATAAAACATCGGGTAAACCAGTTGTTTCACTGAATGATGGGACAGTGTGATCAAAGATTGATGTGAAGAAATGTATGTATGGTATAGCTTCACACTCCACCCAAGAACAGCAACAAGCGATGAATGCCTTTTGTTCTACCAATTTCTACCTGAGAGTATTCTTATTCCGGAATTAATATATACCTTGGGCTTGAATTAGTTCAATCAGATAATTACCACTTCTCCCTCTGCTTTGTTCTAAAATTTAAAACCCATGTTCCATTGTGACTCTGAATCTTCTCATTTGTGATTTGTTCACATTAATCTACTGCTGGTGTTATTGTTCATTTCTGATGGTAACGTGAATATGATGCCATAATCAGACTATCTTTTTTGCTATATTGAACCTTACTTGTTGTAAATATCTTCCACAACTGAATACTCTTGGAAACTACGCCGCTATAATTATTCAGATGGAAAATGTAATTTTTAAGCTGTTATCATCTGATCACCACCCGGGGCTGATTTGTCTGATCTGATTACTTAACCAGGTGCCCAGTCTGGTCTTCATTTTGTGCTGTGGACCCCTTGTGAAAAAGTGGTGTGAGGGGGAAAAAAAATACTAATTTCCTATCAAGTCGATAGAAAAATAATACTTGAAGATCGCTTTTTTTTTTTTTTAGAAAAATACCTTTTATGTGGCCAAATCCTCTCACACAGAAATAAACGCTACTCATAAATGAGTAGAAATATAGTATTAGAACACGACTACGAAGAAAGGCGTTTTATCAAAAACAGTACGTTGCGTCTCTGCCTGTAGCTAAGATGAACTGTGATTTGTCTTGATTCCAGTTTCAGTTGGATATGAATACGAGTCATGTCTGGACTTGACTCTGTGGGAAAAGAGGACCGCCATTTTACAAGGCTATGAATTAGACGCTTCCAACATGGGTGGTTGGACATTAGATAAACATCATGTGTTGGACGTTCAGAATGGTAAGATCCTGTTCTCAGTTGATTTGCTTTCCTTCGGATGGATTAGACTGTGGCAACATTTCATCCCATGCATGCTGTAGGATTAGAAGTAGGAGAAAAAATATATGTTTCCGGGGCGCCTGGGTGGCTCAGTCGGTTGAGCGTCCGACTTCGGCTCAGGTCACGATCTCGCGGTTCGTGGGTTCGAGCCCCGCGTCGGGCTCTGGGCTGATGGCTCGGAGCCTGGAGCCTGCTTCCGATTCTGTGTCTCCCTCTCTCCTGCCCCTCCCCTGTTCATGCTCTGTCTCTCTGTGTCCCAAAAATAAATAAACGTTAAAAAAAAAATTTTTTTTAAAAAATGTTTCCAAGACCATAGAAGTCTGAAGTGGGAACTACCTAACATTCTTCTTGCGGACTTTGAAACATTCGTATATTCATCACCAAAGTAGTTTTCCCATTTGATTATAAATGACTTTAATGCTGCATTGAAAGTATTCTATGTGGTCGTCCCTACCACAGATTTTCTAGGAGTTTCTATATCTATAGTCAGTCCGTGAGTTGATCCACAGTGCTTCAGGAAGGCTTACCAAAAAAGGAGTGGGAGGGGACTTTTTTAAAAGTAAAGAAAAAATAAAAATCCATGTACTTTCCCAAAATATTTCTCTTTTTTGGTAATTTTTTTAATGTTTGTTTTTTGAGAGAGAGAGAAACAGAGTGTGAGCCGGGAGAGGGGCAAAGAGAGAGGAAGGCACGACATCCGAAGCAGGCTCCAGGCTGTGAGCTGTCAGCACGGGGCCAATGCGGGGCTTGAACTCACGAACCGTGAGATCACGACCTGAGCTCAAGTCAGACTTCACTGACTGAGCCATCCAGGCGCCCCACCAAAATGTCTCTAACAGATCTTAATCCTTAAGTAGTCTGAGTATGTCGATTTTTATTTTCAGTTCTTAAATTGTATGAGAAAAAAAATTGTTCTCTTGCTCAAACTGGGTTCCTATACTCTTATTTAACTTTGTAAATATGAGGGAAAAAATACATGAATAATTTGAGAAAAGAGCATTCCTTATAGTAGGCCTTACACTATAGGTGAATATGCCCTGGAAAACCATGTATCAGATATCACAAACCACAAGACCAGTTACTTGACAAAATTTGACCAGCATAGTCTCATAAAGAATATCATTGATATTAAACAATTTCTGTTGTCCTCGCTGTGTGTCTAACATTTTGCCCACACACCAGCTACTATCTCAGATAATTTATGGGCACTTTTCTAGAAAAGCGGAGCCTTCGTGCAACTTACTGTAGCCACCTGTCCTAAACCACGTCATTCTAATAACTCTCTACTCTCCCTTTGCAAATAGCCAGAGAAGGAGATGCCACAGTCTTGGAAAAATAATCGAGCTTTGACTTTGCAGAGGTTTTTGGAAGGTTCAGAATTTTGAACGGAGCATGTAATACGACTACGTGTTTATGATTAATGGTCACTTTTTCAGATTAACGTTACTTTGATACTTGTTCTTTTTATTTAAAAAAAAATTGTTGTTGGAGCCGGCGAGGGTGCATTTTCAGCTTCCGAATGTACTCAATCTAAAGTAGTTTCTAAGCCAGGGCGTGAGAACCCGGTGCCTTACCTCTGGAAGAATATAGTACTGAGCAAACCAATAGTAAGAGGAAAACCACACCGGGAAGACCCTCCATGCCTTTCCTACTCAGCACCCACAGTGCCGAGCTCTGTCCCCATTCCAGCTTTGCCCTGGACGTCAGCTTGCCTCTCAGTGAGCACCCCGGAAGGTTCTTGGGGAGCAGAGCTGACGGCGAATGCCACGTGCGGCACACGCGTGGGGAAAGCGAGACTCCCGACCAAGAAGGCCGCTCCGTATGTTCCCTCTAATCATCGGCGGTGTCTGGACCAGTGGTATTTCAGGCTGTGCCGAATGTGCTCGTGGCTGCTCTTGATTAAAGTCGGGGAAATCGTATTTCACGGAGTGTGACCGATTGCTGGATTTCTTCAGAAGTTTCTTTATAAACAAAATGGGGGGAGCCTCTCTAGAAACGTTTTAGTTATCGTGAGAATGTAAGGTACGGCTCGCCACCAGCTAGCCCCAGGATTTCACTAAGAGATCGTGAACCAGTAGCAAAGAGCTCCAGGAAAGGCCTTCCCATAACAGTGTAATCCAACACTGAGTACAGTACTCAGGTAGAGCTGAGAAAGTTGTAGATATTCTGTATATGTATATATAATAAAAATACACACACTTTCTCTACCGGCATAATATATGGTTCGCTTTTATTAAAATATCAGTTCCGATGTAAAAACTGGGCTACCCAAAATTCTGTCCTCCAAAAACTGCTATAAAGTATACACCGTATGTTGTTTTTAAATGTGTGTTAACCTAATTCCCGGGGTAAACCGATTGTGATTTCACATTTCATCCAAGAACAGTTTGACAAGTAGGGGCTTTTCAAAGTGACATGTGTCTCATTGAATAAACAAAGTGATTTGTAATCACGACAAGGTGGATGAGCTTTGAACACATTTTAAAGAAGAAGAGAAGGCAAAAATGGAGACAGTGACAGGTGTTTGTGCAGACCTGGAACTTGAAAGTAAATATTCTAATGTTCGTGTTTTTGTTCTGTCATAATAGAGGAGAATCATGAAGGACCAGTCGTTTAAAGTAATGACTGAATAAATCAGGCTCAGCAGAGAAGTAGGCTGACTGGTGGGATTCTTTGGATGAAAATTACAGACGTGGCTCGTACAGGAAATGGTAGTTCCCTAATTGTCAAATAACGTAATCACAGAAAGAAGGATCTTAGGTATCACTAATGTCTTCTTTGAATATTTAAGGCAAAAGGCTTTTCATATGTTGTTATGATCCAGCCTTATTTAGATTATTTTTCTTAAATTTGAATAAACCTGTTTTATCTTTCCTGATTTCTCTATGTAACTGTTCTGTGATTATTACATCACTCAAATAGCAGAGCATTCAAAAAGTAATCATAGAATCCACCTAAAAGCGTGCTGAGCTCTAAGAGGAACATAATGATTCTGATCTTCTGATCTCTTCTCCACTTTAAAATTATCCCAGAGTGGGAGGAAAAAACACTTTCTCGTGTTTCCTGTTTGTTCTTTCTGGGGATTGATTCTTTTAACAGTGTATCTGCTAAAAAGTATAAGCGTTGGCTTGAAGAACTGCTTTGAAATAGAGAACGTTCAATAAATATGTAATATGTACAACTTCCAAAGTCAAAATAGGTGGTTTATACAGATAATAACACACTGAGAAGCATCATGAAATATGTATGGAGTGATAACAGCTGACCGTCCAGTATACATCAGACCAAAATGAAACCATTGATCTGATCTGTATATAATAATGGTAAAGGAATAAGATAAGAATCTCAACTCAACTCTAGTTTCTAACTATGAAAATGTTTAATATTCATTCGGGATTTTGTCTCAGATTTTCATTGAAGACCATAATGGAGCAGACTGGCGTTTTGTCTTCTTAAAATTGTTGGCACTTGCATGCCTTAAAGCAGAATTCTCTTTAAATAATAAATTGCCTCTCCGTAATAGTTTCGTTACGTTTGGAATTTTGAATTACTGAATGTGTGGGCATCCTCATGTCAGATCAGAGAATAACCAAGAATGTTCTTTGGTAGCGTAGCAGTATATAGGAGGTCTAATAGATGCTTTCTAACTTTATTGTCTATAAAGTATGTTTAACTCTTTCAAAATCAGTGATCAACTCGGAAGAAATTCATATTTGTGGCACACAGTTTTTATTGGATTAATATATAATTTTTTTAATATCATTCGGCAGTTAGGCAAACTTGGTATTCCCTGAAGAACATTGTGTAGAGCATGGTTCCCAAACTTGGTTGCACATTAGGATTGTCCGGAGGGTTTTTTAAAAGGCTGCCCCCCAGACCAGTTAAATCGGAGTCTCTCGAGATGAGATCTGAGCATCAGTATTTTTTGTTAGCTCCCCAGTCCGTTCCAGTGTGCAACGACGTTTGAGAAGCACCGATGTTGACAGTTCGGGCTGTCCATTTTCCTAGTTGATCCTTTGTTTCTTTTACCAGCCCCTTCCTTAAATTCGCAACAGATCGCGATTTGTGTATATAGCCTTTGTATTTTGTCACATAATATTTTACACGAAGTGACTGAGTTCTTGTTTTGTTCTGTCCTCTGGAACTTTAAAGAAGAGTTTTCCCAGTCTGTATCTACAATGCACTGAAGTACAGTTAACTCTAGAGTGGGCGTGGTTACTTTGCATCTTTGTACTTTTTATCCCAAGAAAAATGCATTTTATGTCTTCTAGGTATACTGTACAAGGGAAATGGGGAGAACCAGTTTATCTCCCAACAGCCTCCGGTCGTCAGTAGCATCATGGGCAACGGCCGCAGGCGCAGCATCTCGTGCCCGAGCTGCAATGGTCAAGCCGATGGCAATAAGCTATTGGCTCCAGTCGCGTTAGCTTGTGGGATCGATGGCAGTCTGTATGTAGGGGATTTCAACTACGTTCGCCGAATATTCCCTTCTGGAAACGTAACAAGCGTTTTGGAACTCAGGTATGTCTTTCCTTAATTGGGTTTTTTTTTTTTAAGATTTTATTTCTAAGTAATCTGTACACCCAATGTGGGGCTCAAACTTACAGCCCTGAGATCAAGAGTCGCGTGCTCTACTGACCGAACCAGCCAGGCACCCCCTGCATTTGGGATTTTAACCAAAGCTAAGCATGCCTTTATTTTTTTTTAAGTGTTTAATCTGATGTACCAGTGTATTATTTAAGTATACCTTCCCCATGTTTAAAATTCTCCTTAGAAAGAAGTTAGATTCTTGGTTAAAGTTGGGAAAAGCACGTATATACATACTATGCCATATAAAAGAGCATAGAGTATAAAGTCACCCAAGATATAAAATGTCTTCACTGATTCCAGGGAATTTTATATGCTCTGATAGGATGGAACTATGATTTTCAAATCCCTTTAGAATAACCTCATGGTATAGGTCGTTAGCCTTTTATTTCACACCTGTTGAAATTTAAGAGAGAAAATATTTCCCTGCAGTATCAGAACATAATAGTAAATGAACTAAGGCTGTAACTTTCCAATAAGCAAGTTCACGAGTTGGGTTAACCCATTAGCTATAACACCAAGGGTGAAAGTAATAAATTGTTGCTTTGCGTTGTTCATTTAAGTGTGATGATGAAAATCATCCCACTCTGTAAATTATTTGCTAAGCCTTGGCCTACAAAATTCATTTCCAGTGTTATTTCTGCTTAAGTTGGGGATTTTCCATACAAATGATTAAAATCTCAGTATGCAACTCATTATTATCTTTTAGAAACTTTTTCTAACTGTGCTTTTTTTTCCCACCTTTTTTACCTGCTTCCACCAAGAAATAAAGATTTTAGACATAGGTAAGCATCTTGCTGAAAGGTTACTGTCTATTTTCAAATGTCCTTTTTGCACTTTGATGTGACTCTCTGACATTGTTTTCTAAGAATATTTCATCATGAGAGAGGAAACTCCGTATCACAGAACATCGAAGGAATTAAAACTACTTAAATGAGCCATTACCCTGCAGTATATTGTAAAGTATATTATGCAATATCATCTGAAAAGCTATTTTCAAATTGGTTAGTAAAATTTGTCACAAAAAAATACCACAACGCACATCTCTGTGTAAGAAAAATACTTCTCAATTTCAGTTACCAGCTCACTTAATCTAAGCCATATTGAACAGAACAAAATTCAAAGCACAGTAGACGTTCGGGCAAGTTTAGGTTGACCAATAATCAGGGCAGATCCCGGTTTATTGGGCTCAAAGCTTGTTCAATTTGGGGGATTCTGTTTAAGAAAAAGAATCTCAAAATAGTTTACTTTGACAGAGTTTTACAAACATAAGATCATATGTTGCCTGGGCCCTCGCTGGGCTTGGAAGGAACCCATACGGGAGAACCCTAACGCTTACGCTTTGTTAACTTTCTGGTAAATTCATCACTGTTGTAGTTTATATTTTCCCAGCTAAGAGAGTTACTAGATTTGAGTTTTAAGAAGTAATGTTTTCACTGACACTCTTACGAAGGAAAAGACTTTCTTCAAAGCTAAGGAAGAGTATCAGCTCAGATGTTTTTCAAATTCTATTTGATATGTACACTTAGCTAGAGAAGGTAAAAGCTTGTGCATGGACACTGTTGACTGAAAAACTCTCCCCAGGACAACAACAAAGGAAAAGGACAATAGATTTTGAAGTAAAGCTCGCCAAAACAAAAAAGCAAGCCATGTTGGACGTGCCGCGTCCAGTTTGGCCAATATAATATCTAATGAAATGGTACCAGAGGGCAAAAGAAGTGATAGTTCATGTGAGATCCTTGAGATGAATAAATCAACATAATCCCTTTAAACTGTGTTGTAGAGACTGACAAGTAGGAAATAAAAAACAAAGTTCTGCTGGAAGATGAGTAGCTGTTGAATATCAGTATGACCAGGCATGGTCCCAGGACCTTTTCCCAAGATCCCCTTTCGATCGCGTGCTATCAGCTAATAGCCCGGTCACAAGCTCAGATTAACACTGCATTTCTTCGGACTGCTGCACCCGCATATCTCTGCTATTACAAACCACGGCAGAATATCAAAACTTTTCTGGCCTTGGCTTCTTGGTAGCTGGAGGAGAGAGGAAAGACACCAACTAAATGTGAAAATGCTGCAGGCGATACAGAAAAAACTACCAAAGGGGCTACTTTTTAACAAACCAGCCTCTATTCCATGCCAGACACGGGGCCAGATATTTTATGTATTTATTGCAGATCCACACAGTAGTCCTTTAGGATTACAGATGAGGCCATTGAGGCTCAAGGAGGTTACTCTTCTTCCCTAAGAAACATAACTGAGGGATGGGGAGCAGAGATTGGAACCGCTCTGAACAGTGTGCATTCCATGGCACCACCGAGCTAGTGTTGATGTGTCCAAATGGCTGGGATTCTGTGGGATAAGTACCTGGGTATATAAAAAGCTAAATTTATTTCACAGTCATTTGACAAATTACGTAGAGCTATAATCTCTTTCTCTGGAAGAAAAGAGGCGAGAGCTACATTATTAACGGTACTTTATAATATGAGCTCATTACGTACTAACTCGTGGTGTTTGGCAGTGACACTCATTGTAATCCCTCTCTCATGATCCCCCTTCACCTTTCTCCTCTGTGTGTTATCCTGGCTAAATTTGAGCTTCTGCATTTCCCTTATGGCCCTGCATGTAAAAGACACTGGGTTCTATATTCATCCTTGCTAAGTCGGTGTTGACTGATCACTCACCGTGTACTAGGCACTTGGACAAATAGTAATACAAGAAAATCCATACTCTCAGAAGTCACAGTCTAGTAGGGGAGACAGGATATGTATGTAACAGCCTAAGTGACATCCTCGGTATCATTCTTTGATGCTTCATTATATCCGTGGCTTGTACTGTGAGGGTAGTTCTGTTGAGGAAGAGATTACGGGGAGATACGGGTATGGTAAGGCAAAGTTCTCTGGAAGGTTGATATTTGACCTACATCTAAAAATGAAGTCTGTTTAAACAGAAAAACAGGAAGAAAGGAAGATAGTCATGAAGAAGTAATCTAGAACAAATGATGTTACTGGGGTTTATGAAAGGCATGGGTAAGACATGTTCTGAGAAGAATCCGATTTACCTGGGTGGAGCAGGGGATCCATGCTGGTAATAATGAGAGATACAGGTAGAAAGCCAGGTTAGGGTCAGATTGCTTAGGGCCTTGAGCGCTCTGAGGAGTTACTCTTCTGTCCTACAGGACAACAGAGACAGTGGGAAACCATTTTCTAATCTTGAACAAGATGGCGCCATTCTCCAAATGGCCTTTGGGGAAGATGAATCTGATGTCAGTGTTTAGGATCAGTTAGAAAGCCGTGGCCTAAAACCATGAGATGCTAGGAACCTAAATTAGTATGGCTAGCAATGAAGGGAATCAACCCATAAAATAAAGAAAGGCAGAGAATGAATACACTGTATATGGGTGGTAAGGAAGAAGATGTAGAAAATATCCAAGGCCTTTGAGCCCAAGTCACCGATGAAATGACAAAAATAGGGATTCCATTTGTTTCATAATTAATTAATCAAAATTGGCTTCACAAAAGCAAGATATTTTGACTCACTGAAGCTACTCTATTCAGCTCAAAAAATTAAAACTCTTATCAGATACTTCCTTCTATTTGCCTACTAATGTCATCTTGCTCATCCTAGATGATAGGATCCTGCTGGCTTTCTCCTTATCCCCACTTTCACAGCTAACGTAACAGTCATGAAGCGCTTAGGAACAGATGATAGGAGGGGAAAGAAATTGTAAACTATGTCTAAAGACACAAAAATGAACAGTGTAGTCAGTTAACGATTAATGCATAAAAATGCATGCGTCTGGTCCTCTTACTATGTTTCCCACACTCATTAATTGGACTGATGGAGGAAATAATTAATAAAAATAGTGAATAACAAAATCAATGTAAAAAAACATAGGTTTTTTAATTTTAAAATTCAAAGTAATCCATCATACCAAATGTAATAATACTGCCAGGATATTATATCAAGTAAAAGTCTCTGGCTAGACTTTAATGAATGAATAGATATAAATACTACTCAATCAACATATTAAATTTTTTACATAAATGGAAGCTTCTGAAATTCTTAACATTTAAGCTTCTCTTGGCTCTGCTAAACATTTCCCCCCGTGTTGTTTATAGTATTAGTTTGATAACAAACTCCTTTTGTAGGTAGTAAATTTTGGCTCATCCCTGTTCTAATTCTTTAAAATTCCCAAATAAAGGGACTTAAATTAGTTAACTAATACCAGCCAAGAGGTAATAAAACATGTAGGACTAAAAATCAACTTTGTGAATTTTATATTACCAATTAAAAGATCAAAGAAGGTGCCAATCACAGGTCTGTGAACTTGACTCAATGAACGTTCAGATACAAAATTATAAAAGCTTGATTCAGCACTTCTTGCCTTAATATGTAAAAATCAAACAGGCGCAGAAATACCACATCCCAAAGCCCTGCTTGCAATCATCTAAACAGTCTTAGTTGCCAGAAAAAAGGCATTTTATTGTTCTACATAAGTATAATTTTTGCTTTTCTGTGTCCTAAAGGCTACGGCACAATTTCCAATAAAAAGATTAAAGTGCTAATGATCTCTGTTCTATAGCTTGTTCTTTGCAAATATTTCTCTAGTCTAAGAAGTTGCATTATGACAAAATGAATAAGCAAATCCAGGCTGTGCGTCCATGGGATGGGACCATGGGGAAGTCGGCTTAGGGACTGTGGTGATCTAGGCAATGCAGCGCGAGTCATCAAGGTGCAATATACTAAAAGTTTCAACTTCGATTTTGCTGCTCTTAGTGAAAATCGTAATGTTATTTTCAGACTTTCTGAAATGAAAACCTTGATCAGTTGTACAAGAAGGCCATTAAACCTCTCCTGGTGAACAGAGATTCCCTCAAACCATGCATTTTGGGGGTTTTTTAATGTCAGTTTATTTTTTCAGAGAGGCAGAGAGACAGAGACAGAGAGCATGAGTGGGGGAGGGGTAGAGAGAGACACACACAGAATGTGAAGCAGGCTCCAGGCTCTGAGCTGTCAGCACAGAGCCCGACACAGGGCTCGAACCCATAGACTGTGAGATCATGACCCGAGCCGAAGTCTGCCGCTTAAGCAACTGAGCCACCCCGGCGCCCCAAGCCATGCATTTTGTAAATCCCGCACTCCAGCTACCAGCAGCCAAGCGCACTCAGTCATCGTAGCCTTACGTTTCCACATGAGACGTATTACTGACCTAAAAACTCACCACCCAGTTGCACCCGCACACCAGCCTCTCCAGGGCTTTGGCTTTTCGGGAATTTGGAGCGCAAGTACTAACTCATTCTGTCAGAAAACTCTGCTTATGTCAGGTGTCCTTGAACCCCAGACCCATCCCATGTCTTGTTCAGAGCTTCTCTGCCTCCAGTCAACTGAAAGTTTCCAAACTCACTTTTTCTTTTTCTTTTAGTGCTTTGGTCCTGCTCCCTCTCTTCCTCTGAAAGGGGCTGGGGTCCCAGAACCAGCTCTAATTTGCCATGCTAAGCTGCGCTGCAAAGAACTTATCCAGTTCCCATTTCCTACCATTCTGTGGGGAATGTTTCCAGAAGTAAACTCTCTTCTCCAGGGCCACATCCTCCTCCTCCACATTTGTTATTCTGGACAATGGAGTTGTGTGCAAAATTAGAGCTGTCATTTGGCAGACATTTTTAAAAACCGTCGACATATGTTGCTTGATTTAGAAATTTCTGTGCCTTCAAAGAAGGAGATGCTGTGGAACAGGAAATCCAAATATAAGCACCACTTTGGACATTCTCTTATTACTGTCCCACTGGAATAAAGCTGATGTCAATAAAGGCAAAGCGTAGGACTTTAATGTCCATTATTTTTGCACCAAGAAAACTTATGACCTGTAGCTCAAGGGGCCACCTCAAAAATCCGTTGTTTTATTCTCAGAACGAGGCACATCAAAACTCTGTATAATTTTTTTATATCATTCTTTATCAGGATCCTAAAGTTTTTATTCTCCTTTATTGTAAACTCATGATTTATATAGTTAAAATGGCTCAGTATTAAAATTCTCCCTTGTACGCTATTAAATGAGAAAGGCAAGATATAGAACAGCATAATGGCTTTTGTGCAAAAATATGTGTGTGTCTATAAATAGGTACCTCTTTTAGGGAGTATGCTTTTTAATCATGGAATATTGGAGATAAAGGGGGTAAGGGAGAATCCTTCCACTAACCATTTTATATAGGTCTGGACAGTTTATAGTTATAAGTGGGTTAAGTGGACAGGGAGATCATGATCCAAGATTTGGGTTGTTTTTGTACATCTTTGGATTGAAAAAATGAATTAAAATTCTTTATTTTTAAAACTGTCTCCTAGAAGTTGCTCTTGAAGGAGTTTTCCACAAATAGCCTTTTCAGCAGGTATTTTAGAAAAGACCTGTAAAGAGGGTGAAAAGGACTTCATGATTAAGTCCCACTATCCCAGGCTTCTGATAAAGGATGTCACTTAAATGAATAATTCTGCATATTACCCTCCACTTGAAAAATTACTGAATGTTCCCATAACTCATCTCACTTTGAAAATTCAGAGGAACAATTGATTCTAGTACTTCAGCCCTGAGACAAAAAGACCCTGGCATGGTCTCATGGATATGGTACCTTTCCACCCTTTGTACATGAAAAAGGAAGAGAGGCTTCTTGATATTATGTTCTTAAAAGTGACCTTGCAGCTTTATAAAGGTGTTTCATATGAATGCTTAACTCCGACTGAATTTACATTGGATTGCATTATTCATTTACCTTTATCCTCATTACCCTGGAAACAATTCAAAGTGCATGTTTAAAGAAGGGTCTGCATTGTTTGAATAGTTTAGGATGTTCTAGCCTAACAGCACGACCAAAGAAACAAATTTGAACGTAGCCATTGTTTTTCTTCTTAACCTTTCCAGAAAGCTAGTCGTACTTTAGATAGCTAACGATAATCATCGCACTCCTATACTGTGTAGAGTTACAAGTCAGAAGACACACTGCAACCCAAGAGGAGGCAGGACAGAAGCAGATATTAAGAACAGCTAATGCTTGTTGCATATGTATCACGTACTAGGCACTGTTCTAAGCATTTTATCTGTATTAGCTCATGTCACCCTCTCAGCATCCTATGAAATATGTATTATTATTATCACCTTTCCAGATAAGGAATCGGAGGCACAGACGAGTTAAATAACTTGCTCAAAGTCATGAGATTTAGTGAGTGAGGAAGCTAGGATCCAGACCCAGGCAGTCTGGTCTAGAGGTCATGCTCATAGCTACTCAACGGACAGGAAAATGTGTGTGTGTGTGTGTGTGTGTGTGTGTGTGTGTGTGTGTATTGTGTGTGTGTGTTTTCATAACTGGCTATGTGACTAGTTCTAATCAGTATATAATTGAGGAGATAGGAAAGAAAAGAGAAGTCTTTCCACAATGGTATTTCACAATAGACCCAGTTTGATTGCGTTACGTTACAGTCACCAACCATATATCTAAAAGACCAGCTCCGTCAATATCAGGCTGTTCATGGGGGGAAGAATCTCTTAAAATTACTCTGAAGATGATATTGATATGTAACTTTTCACTTCATTACAGAGTAATAAACTACCACATTAAGGAAGGCAGTATGTCTGTGCATTTGACATTTCAGGCATCGACTTAGAAAAGCGATACAATGACACTTCACATGGGAAGGGGTCCATAGCCCAGTGGTTCTGAAGCGTCTTCGTCTCAAGTGACTTGTATCTCCCTGAATCCTTTGTTTCACTAGTCACCCTCTCACACTTATCACACACTCAAGACCTCTTGCTCAGATATGTCTCTTGTCACCAAAAGATACGGAAGGGTAGAAAGGAGACCGAAACCTGGAGGTGATCAAGCTTTCGCGAGTCTCGGTGTTTCCATGTGAATCCACTTAACAGCCAGAGGCTTCAGAGCTCCAGAGGGTCTCTACAGACGCCACGTGTGGCCAGCTCTGTGCCCACATGGGCACCCGATGTAAGACACACTCGTGAAACCGAGAACTTGCTATTTTAGCAGTAGACTCTCTCACAGGAGCCCTGAAGTACACATATTCACCACTTTCAAAGGAAGAGCATTATGTAGTGAGAACACTACACCATTATTTAGAACAAATATTTTCATATAGTTAGATTTATACTACATCTTTTAGATATTCACATGTAAAACAAATGGAAACAAGTACAAAAGTGTGGGCGGGGACAGAAGAAAAGAGAGAGAGAAAGCATGAGAATAAATTGGTGAAACGCTAAGTTTGTCGTGAAGATAATGTAGAATCCAGTGGATTCTTGCCTGTCAACATCTTTGTCGAAACACTGGAATGTTTGTTTCCAGAAGGCAATATTTGCACATGGTACAAAATCCCATTAATCCTAAGAATGTGATGTTGAGTGTTCATAAGGAGATGAGTGAACTTTTTAATTCCAACTAGGGGTCCTAATTTGTCCATTGCTTGGTAATGTCGGTCTTCCCATTTGTCACAGGTAACGGGACGTAGGATAGTTTACATTTGCGCTACTTTCTACGTGTCACATTGAGGCAGTATGTTTTGTGAACAAATGCCTACATCTCACCAAATTCGCAGAGCGGTCTTCAGGCAGCTTAATTTACAACTTTTGAAGTAAAACTTGACAGAACTACCCTTCTGGCTCACTGCATGAGGCCGGCATCTGAGACAGCCTCGTACACGTGCATGACCTCCTTTTAGTACGTAACCCTGTTGCTCAAGACAAACGCTGTAACTGCATCAGATCGCCCTCCTGGATTATGATAGAGCAACGAAGACAGACCTGATGGTGCATTTTGTCAGGGGCAGGCGTTCATGTGATTTGGATTTGTAGCAAAACAGGAGAATTCCCTCTGATGAGGTGCAAGGGACATGAGTAGTATGTTACACTTCACCGGGGTTTGATAGAGACACCCTTCCCCTGGAATAAACTTTATGTCGATCACTCATAATAAAGAGCAATTTATTAATGGCTTTTCATTGATCCAAAAGGATTTGGAGAACTTGCTTCTTTGTTTTAGGCTAGAAGCGTATTGCCTTCTAAAGGGAATTATTTTCCAAGATGCCTGTTTTAATAAATTTAGTACATTAAATCCTCAGCCACCAGCAAAGAAAGAAAGCAATCCTTTTAGAGCTTGCCTCCAATTCTTTTCCGCCATTCTTTGAAGTCATTATTAAATATGCTGTTCGTTTTCCAGTCTTTAATAATGGATTTCAGTTTATAATCAGTTTCCCATGATCTGTTTTATTTTGCCTTTCATTACGCACCCCCCACCCCCCCTCACCCCCGTGTATTAGGAGTAACTGCCTTGCGATGTTTATGTGTGATCTTTTTTTTACAGCAGCAACCCAGCTCATAGATACTACCTTGCGACTGATCCCGTCACAGGAAATCTGTATGTTTCTGACACTAACACCCGCAGAATTTATCGCCCAAAGTCACTGACGGGTACAAAAGATTTGACTAAAAATGCTGAAGTGGTTGCAGGGACGGGGGAGCAGTGCCTTCCATTTGATGAAGCCAGATGTGGAGATGGAGGGAAGGCTGTGGAGGCGACACTCATGAGTCCCAAAGGTACTGGCATTTATCAATTTGAGGATTTCTTTTTATTAAAAAAAAAAAAAAAAAGATACAAAACCCAGTTAGTGCCTGATTGTGTTTAATGCTGAGTCTAACATTTTACCCTCCACTGTGTTCTAGAAAGCTGTTTCACATCTAGTGTTTTTAAAAGCCATTTGGCGTGAAACTGCTAGAATCCTAAGTTGATTTTACAGCAAATACTGGGTTCTTGGCATTTTTTTATCATACCATTTTTTCACCTTTTCAAAGAATAAAGCAACTAGCCCGTATTATTCAGGTCACATCCTGTTAAACTTCAAGGAAGTGTCCAGATTCTTTTCATTGTCCTGGAATTTCTTTGTCATGAATGAGTCCCGGGCCTCTTTAAAAACCATCACTAAGCAACCGTATTAGTCCTCACCCGGTTTGGAGCTATTAAACTTTTGTTTCTATGCCATGGGAAAAAATGCTTGCTGTGAGGAATTTCTAGAGGTGACAAGGGCTAAAATTCTGTGTGACAAAGGTTTCTAGCTTTTAAACCAGTTGGGACTGACTCCTTGCTCATGCACTATCCCCTTCATTACAATGTTTTTTGGTTTAAGACTTTTTTTTTTTTTTCCATTATAGCTAGCAACTATTATGTGAACGAGGACTGGAAAAAAAGCATTTGTTGTACTGAATTATTCATAATAGCAAATTTCATTGTAACAAGGTCAACAGAACGCTAACCTTGGCTTAGATCTATTTTTGTTAGAATATAGTTACTCTAAGTTCCGAGTAACAGAATCTGACCTGCTTCTATCATTGATAGTCAACAACAGTATACAGATGTTATAATTTTACAGTTAAAACTCAGGTACAGCCTGTATGATTCTTACACTAAGTGGGGATTCTTACCGATTTGGGTTATTTATTACGTTTTATGTTGATTTGTGTCAGAAATGCCTCTGTTGGGTTTTTCCTAATGTAATTACAATCTGCAGTCTTACCTGCTGCCTATCACCCATGTTATCCCTGGGGTTGAACGTTGAATTTAATGATGGGCCTAAAAATAAATCACGTTTGAAAATTGGTAACACTTAACTTCTCTTGGAAAAGGAATGGCAATTGATAAGAACGGATTAATCTACTTTGTTGATGGAACCATGATCAGAAAAGTTGATCAAAACGGGATCATATCAACTCTCCTGGGCTCTAACGATCTGACTTCAGCCAGACCCTTAACTTGTGACACCAGCATGCACATCAGCCAGGTAGTTAAAATCTCAAGCTGTATTGTGTGTTTTTCTTCTAAGTGTCTTGATTTACTAGGTCAGTAGACTGTGACGGCCCCATATTAAACTGGATATATCAGGTGTGGTGTTAGTTGTAACAAAGCTGTTCCATTGAAGTGTATCTCAGGAGCTAATAAGTTATTTTGGGGGCGCCTGGGTGGCTCAGTCAGTTAAGCATCCAACTCTTGGTTTCTGCTCAGGTCATGATCTCACAGTTTCGTGAGTTCGAGCCCCACCTCAGGCTCCGTGCTGATAGCGTGGAGCCTGCTTGGGATTCTCTCTCTCCCTCTCTGCCCCTTCCCTGCTCACACTGTCTCTCTCTCAAAAATAAATAAATAAACTTAAAAAAAAAAGTTCTTTTCTTCCGTAGTTCTGCATTTGATGAATTCAGTGAGATTACAAACAATTAGCACTAAGAAATGCTAAAGCATTTGTAATAAAATACCAGTAGAGCAGCAGCAGGCAGATACCCCAAAAAGAACAAAACAGCTTAAATCTCTAATCTTCTGATTGCATGAGCTCTTTAAGTAGTAGAGAGAACCCACTATGATTAGTCCCAAGGGACTCCTATTTAGCATGAGGAACTTAACTGTTGGCCTGATTGAAAACACAATAAAACACTCACATATTCATAACCTAGAAAGCCTCGACCTGTGGTGGGTATTACTGCTAAAGGAGCATATGTGTTCATATATCATTGATGCCTGTTAACTCACTGCTTAGAGGTTCATTTGCTCTTTGGCTATGACTTGCAAATCTTTCAGCAAGCGGCGTTTTTCACTAACGTGCGATTTCCCGCATTTGTCTCCACTCCAGATTTTTAAGTTTATTTTACAGTAGCTCTTCAAAAAACAATTTTGAAACAGTTGATCAAATTAAGGGTAATTTCCTTCAATGGTCTAATTTACTCTTCTGGCAAATTAACTGCCGCGCAGTAACTGACTAACCAGACCTTTTCGTTTTCATTAAGGTACGTCTGGAATGGCCCACTGACCTCGCCATTAACCCCATGGATAACTCCATTTACGTCCTGGATAATAACGTAGTTCTGCAGATCACTGAGAATCGCCAAGTGCGCATTGCTGCGGGACGGCCCATGCACTGCCAAGTTCCAGGCGTGGAATATTCTGTGGGGAAGCACGCGGTTCAGACAACTCTGGAATCGGCGACCGCCATCGCGGTGTCGTACAGTGGGGTCCTGTACATTACTGAAACCGATGAGAAGAAGATTAACCGAATCCGGCAGGTCACCACAGACGGGGAGATCTCCCTGGTGGCGGGAATACCTTCAGAGTGTGACTGCAAAAACGACGCCAACTGTGACTGTTACCAGAGTGGAGATGGCTACGCCAAAGACGCCAAGCTCAGCGCGCCGTCCTCCCTGGCCGCTTCCCCGGATGGCACCCTGTATATCGCGGACCTGGGGAATATCCGGATCCGGGCCGTGTCCAAGAACAAGCCTTTCCTTAACTCCATGAACTTTTATGAAGTTGCCTCCCCAACTGACCAGGAACTCTATATCTTTGACATCAATGGCACCCACCAGTATACTGTAAGTTTGGTCACTGGTGATTACCTGTACAATTTTAGCTACAGCAACGATAACGATATTACTGCTGTGACAGACAGCAATGGCAACACCCTCAGGATTAGACGGGACCCGAATCGGATGCCAGTTCGGGTGGTGTCTCCAGATAACCAAGTGATATGGTTGACGATAGGAACCAATGGATGTTTGAAAAGCATGACTGCCCAAGGACTAGAATTAGTTTTGTTTACATACCATGGCAACAGTGGCCTGTTAGCCACAAAAAGTGATGAAACTGGGTGGACAACGTTTTTTGAGTAAGTATATCCACATTCTGCTCTGATTGTAAAGTGCTGTGACATGGTGAATAGACTCTAAAAAATTTACATTCTGAAGGGCAGGTGGGATCCAAGTTTTGGAGGCCCTGGAGCTTCTGTAATTTTGGGATCCCCCCCCCCTCTGAAAAATACAAAATTAGACTCAGGGCCTTGGGAGGGACCCACACAATGAGAAGTTCTGAGGCTTACATGTCATTGACATCGTGGTCAATGCCTCTGCTTAAGGGTTAACATTTTGCTTCATACACACCTAGTATATTAGCAGCAGACATTTGGAGAAATATACTACAGTTTTGGTTTTACGCATAAACCCTCCGGGTCTACATTTGCCCAGGTGATAAAGCTGATTATGTTGGGAGCCGTCACCGATGAACTTGAAAAACATTTACAATGACGGGGACGCCTGGGTGGCTCGGTCGGTTAAGCGTCTGACTTCGGCTCGGGTCGTGATCTTACGACTCGTGGGTTCAAGCCCCGAGTCAGGCCTGGAGCCTGCTTGGGATTCTGTGCCTCCCTCTCTCTCTCCGCCCCTCCCCCGCTCGTGCTCTGTCTCTCTCTCTCTCTCTCTCTCTCTCTCAAAAATAAATAAGCATTAAAGAAAATTTTTGTAAACATTTACAATGAAGCTGGCTATTTATGTCAGTGCTACAAATGTCATTCTTATCAAATAGAAAGCCTTCGCTTTTTGTAAACAGTTATTGGAAATTTAAACTGCACTTAAAAGGACCTTCCCACGAAATGCAAATCAGCAAGTGCCATCACTGCGGAAGCATATGAAAAAGTATGAGGTTCAGGCTGCCAGCATATGCTACTATGTGGAGTAGTGGTCCAGGCAATGTGCTGTGTGAACGGTCCCATTTTGTGAGGTCAATCAGAATGAAATGAGAATCAGCCATTGTATATTTTATGGGATATGTACTTTGCAGCGAACGCAGATGTAAAATCATTTTCGATTACTGTTCACTTCACTAACGTCGCACAAACCGTAAGGGGAAATTAGATGGCATGTTGACAAATGCAGAATAGTCCTTGAGATGAATGTTGAGCTCCTTAGTGTGATTTTTGCAATGATATGAGAAGGCAAAAGTATTTTCTGTAGGAGCACACCTCTACAATTATAATACAAGACAGTAGAAAAAGAAAACGATCCAATATACAAATATTTTCCGTACAACTTTTCTGGAATGGATCTTCTCCATAAAGCTGAGTTCTCCTGTAGCTTGAATTGCTTTTCTTTTTTGACAGATTCCCTTTTAATAAAATGAATGTTACCCAGCAGCATGATTTTGTCAGAGGAACAAACCTTTTCAATTGAATTACATTAAAATTCTGTTCTTAGCATTCCTGTTGCTCATTTTAGGATCGCAATAGGAAAGGAATAAATTGGAAGTTAATGGAAAGCGCTTCCTTTGCACCATTTTCAAAGCGATAGCGGGCTGTATTGCCAAAGAGGCAAAAAAGAGTCCAGGCAAAGTGCTACCATCAGATGAGACTGGGCAGGAGAGCTGCTCTGATTATAAGACCTTCAGGAAATGATGGTGGCATTGGGAGGGTTTCAGTTTAGTTAAAAGCCGGGAAGAAAAAAAATAGAGAATTAAGTTTTCAGTCCAGTCTGGGACTCAGGCTCTGCTCTGCGGGCCGCTTTTGAGTGTGTCCTTATTTGTTCCCGGGAACTGACATTGCATAGAAGTTCATCGTGTGGGTTACTGCTGACACATGAACTTCCTACAACAGATAGTGTGGTTTACTTAGGACCCGCAAATGGATTTTAATCAACTTTGGAAAATTAGACAAAGGGATACGCTCCATTGGCGGAGTTGATCTGGATTAGTAAAAACAAATTTGGGATTTTTTCACCTTTTTTTTTAAAAGAAAGGATCGTGCGCAAAGAGGGCACATTTCTCTAATAACGGATATGCAAACTTCGAACCTCAAACTTAGTTAAGAATCAGCACAGCAGCTAAAGTAGAGGTTGAGTTGGCAAGCCAATCTCGTGACTATAAGGGGCCAGCATGGTTTTAAAGAACAGACGTTTGGAATACCTGGGTGGCTTAGTCCGTTAAGCATCTGACTTCAGCTCAGGTCATGATCTCACGGTTTGTGGGTTCGAGCCCCACGTCGGGCTCGCTGCTGTCAGCAGAGAACCGACTTGGGATCTTCTGTCCCCCTCTCTCTATGCCCCTCCCCCCTCTCAAAAATAACTAAACATTTTTAAAAACATAAAAGCAAAAAAATAAAGAATAAAAGTTTGTAATTAACGTAAATACCTCACAATCATTCCTTCCCTAATACAAATTCATCACATATCATATTTAAAGTAGAACTATTAAATCCTATCTAAATAAGCTAGGGCAACTAATACGAAAAGCATTATTAAAATATTTTACCAAATATAAACCTCATAATCATGTATCTATATGTACATAAATATACACACACGTATGTTTTGTATAATTTAAAAATACAGTAGTTTAATAAACCCATGCTTCAAAAAAAATTTTACTAATAAAATTAACAGAAATACTACTTTCTAAAACCCATGTTTTTATTACTTTTTCTCTAGATGTCTGCAGCCAAGGCATAACTAACAACTGCCTAAGAAACATAGGGCACTTAACCTACGTAACTGGGAATCATCATGTCAGAATAACAAGCGATCATTTATTTTTTTTCTTTCTGTACATTTTTATACTTTGGCTGTGAAAGAGCAAGGGCTCATCTCTTCTAAGCTTCAGAAACTTTAAAACACATTCAAAAGTAAGTGCATGAAATAAGGGACAGGAGGGTCCTTACCAAGCAGCCCCTCCCATAGTGATCTCTGTTCTGACAAGCACATCCTGTCTGCGAAAGTGTGTAGCTCCTGACAGGTAAACTTAGCCCTGATCCCTGCTCATCAGAGCCTTGACCAGAGGTTCTGCTTATTACACTGTGATTTGGACATGTGCCTGGGTGGAGGTGCTGGGGACAGCAGGGGACTCTGAATCCCCCGCCCCGACTTCCTTTGTGGTTGCTGTTATTGGAGAGCTGACACACCCCCACAATACCAGGAATATCTATAATATTCCCCTTCAGATTTTCGCAATACTCTGTGTCTAATTTAGACTTAGAAGAATGTTTGGTAATTTCATAAAGAGGGGATGTGGGAGGTTTGACAACGGTCAGACTGGGTTCTATGAAAACCACAAGGAGATTGGGCAGCGGGAGGGGAGGAATCACCATTCCCAGTTGAGAAACACCTGTTTACTGTGACGTTCATGACACCAGTGCCTAGAGTTGATACAGGCTTTATAGACATCTTTCTGCACAAAGATCGCACAAAGAGAAATTAAACTTTTTAGCCCAGATTCCCAGTCGTACATGTCCAGCTTTCTATCTAGCCTAGTGCCTTAAAAGCCTTGAGATTAAAAGCTTTAGAGGATAGAAACAGATGGCAGAGACCCAGAATCAATAAATTTGCCTCGTGATAAAAATACAGTCACTATAGTTTCTACCAAAGAAATTTTAGAAGGCAGTTAGCTCAATTACTTACCTTATATGTTTTAATTGTATTACTCGTCTCTTAGTACCAGCTTTAGTTTACCATTAATGTGCCACAGTTTCTAGGAATACAGAATAAAATGTGAAAGTATTTCATAAGATGCACACTAATTGTGGCTCCCGTGACTCCTGGAACGCATACAGAATTCTTCCAGTAAATACTTGTTGGTGGAAGGAATAGAGAGATAAACCAAAGATGTAGACAAGTTAATATTATTTATAGAGAAGAGCCTTATAGAACCCATACCTGGCTCTTGTCCAGGCTCCATTGAAAGAGTACCATATAAATTCTGCTGTCTTGCTTTCTGAAGTGTTTTGCACTCACTGTACCGATAACTGATGCTGAAAATATTGACTAATCTCATTCTTCGTTGCTTATATTTTTAAATATAGTTACCCAATAGTACGTGCTTACCCAGTTTCTTTTTGCTTTACAAAATGAGGATTTCCTCAGTTGGTGCTCTGAGTAAAATAATTAACAAAAATAAATGACTTCATATTGATAGCACTTTCTTCTGAAGTGTTGCTATTAAGGAGTTAGCTGAGAGTCGAGACGGAAAACATGTCCCACGCAAGTGCCGTTGAAGTGTATTGTTATACCTGGAATCAGGAAGGATGACTGTAGGAAAAGAAATTGAGATTCCTATCAGTCGCCAGTAGAAGAGGCTGATGTTTTAGGGTACACAGATAGTTCCCAAAGTACAAGAGCCTTCATTTCAAAACCTAGAGATAGCATTTTCTCCGTAGCAGCAGGTGCTGTCTGTGTTACTTGCAACGATTGTGTCCCTATTGGGGTTTGTTAGAGGTGTGGCCAGTCTTCTTAGACATGGTCCTGGACGGAATGATAGGAAGTCTACAGCGGGTAGCACAGGGTTTGTAACTCAGCTTTGAAATCTTTGAGTTAGACTAATATGCTTCATGAACTGAGTAACTACCTATTACCGATTGAATAAGCCATCTCATCCAAGACCTCCTCTCACATTGACTTGGCAGGCAGTATAAAGGATATCCGACTAGCTAATGGGGTCCCTTGTGTGAGGACAGTGTGATCAGACTCGTTACTCCCTTCGCTTAGTATTAGGGACCGTTTCGTGCTGGTCTTTGTACCATTTGAAAACAATTATCACATGTTAGGAGTCCTTAGCTAGAATAATTTCAGGGTGACCAAAAAATCTCACCGGCTAGTTCAGACCCAAAGTGAAACTACAGTTCTTACAGGCGAATGCACACAAAAGCAAATCCAGTATATTGAATGGGGCGATAGAATAAATTATTTGATAGTTGATGGCATTTTACAGTTCTCCGCTTGCTTACCCCCATAAAATACAAACTGTTTGACCACATCTTTCTGAAGCTCTTCTGTCTGGCTAAAGAAGAGGTTTTTTAGAAAAAAAAAAATGCTATGAGTTCTAACTGATATGAACAGACACACCACCAGGCTG